GTTTCTGGTAACTTTCTCCACCATTCAGAGACAGTTCCTCTAAATGTGTGTTCTATAAATCCAAAAGCCGTATATGTTTCCCATTTATTAAATTGTATAGCTAAATCTGTACTTTTTATCCATGTTTCAATAGCTTTATTTTTATCTACACAATCTAAATCTAACCATATTCCTGTTGTGTGGATTGGTTCATTATAAGATTTCATTGGATTTATTTCTTTTATGGATTGTTTTCTAACATTTCCAGTGTATCTTTTCTGAGTTTTTCTATACTGATTAATATCAGCCTTATTAGGTAATGGAGTACCATAAGGATAATTTTTATATTCTTCTTCATCACTACTAAATTCTACCTTTATATCGTGACTTGAAGATGGATTAGTATTCATTTTTATATTTTCCATTTTTTCAGTTAATTCTTCTAACTGCTTTTTATATTCTTCATACTCTTCACCTGTAGATTCTAAGAATTTTTGTTCTATTTCTTCTACATCTGTTATCATATATTGTTTTTCTTCATGCTTTTTTCCTTTATTTTTTGTTATTCTAAAATCTTGGGGTGGATTAATTATAATCCTATCTTTTCCTCTAAGATTATTATCTAATAATGCATTTCCTACTTGTAGATTATATTCTAGATTTTCTAGTCTTTTATGGATATCCTCAAAACTTTCATTTGTAGTATTTTTAGGTAAATAGGGATAACTCGGTTTTTTATGTTTTTTAACCTTTTCCAAAAATTCTTCAATTATATTTTCTTCATCTACTATATTCATCATTATTTTTAGTTCGTAACATGGCTCTGATACCATTTGGTCGGAGTGTGCAGCGGAGGGGTTAATATTTTTGAGCCAATTAGATTCTTCATAAGTATTTAAAATGTCACAATAGAATTTATAAAATTCACTATTTTTTATTAATACTTTTTCTTGAATAATTATATTTAATTTTTCAATTCTCCTTCTTAAATTAAGAATTAATTTATATATGTCTTTTTCCATTTTGATTGCTTCGTTATCTATGGAATCATTTTTATTTTTTATTTTTGGGTCTAAATATTCTATAAAGAAGTCTTTCAGATCTTCTTCTAGATAGATTAATTCGTTTTCTGTATAGATTTTTAGATCAATAAAATTTTGTATAATATTTGGATCTAGATTTATTAAAAGTTTATGATCTATATTTTCTTGAGGACTTATTTGAAGGTTTTTAGACATTGTAATGGCTTTGGTTGCAATTTCTCTATTAAGGGTATTTTTGGAAAATTAGTTGTTTGGAGACTAGTTTTCAAATGTTTTTATTTCTTAGGCTAATTTGGAAAATCAACCTTCTATTTAAGCTATAAAGCTATATTTCCCCTCCTGTTTCTATGCTACTTAAAATTAGTGCATTATGCCCCTGTTTGAACTACATTCTCTAAAAAATCATTTTCCCCCAAACTCATTTTCAACCACACTTCTAACATAAAAATTTTGCATGTAAACTCATAACTTATTCCTACTTTTTAACCACACATTCTTCAAAAAATAACTATTACAAAGCTCATATTTCACAAAAAAATTGGGCTCAAACAGAGCCTAAATATTTATATCTTACTCACAATTCAGATTGAAATTCACTTTCATAAATAGAAAACATGTCAATCATTTTGAATTCCAACAAAATTCGAACTCATATAGCAAGAACCTTAAATCCATGACAGGCTTGGGATACATCCAATCATCCCCATTGTTCTTCATCTTTCCCCACATGTAAAGCTGTCCTCCTCCTGAGAACAAAAGTTAATAGCAGTTTCAGAATTATAAGCTGCTTGCTCAAGGCTATGAAAAAGAGTATGGTCCATATTATGCCGAGACGTCACGTTCAGTCCGGTTGCTCAAAATGGTACCATTCGCACCCGCTTGCATTCAGCGCTGGCCCAACTCTCATCCCAGTTAGACGTCAAGAACGCTTTCCTTCACCGAGATCTCAAAGAAGCCCTTGATCCTAACCCTCAGTAAACCGGTAGGACCACTTAACGACTAAGAACAAGAAGTGTTGCATTTCATGAAACCCGGGAAATTTGGACAAAACCTACTTGGAGCCCTAAACGGGGTCTCGTTTTGCACCCTTCCAATCCTCAAAGTTTTTCAGTTTTCAATAGCAAAGATCACAGGTTTAGACTCCGATTCGGAAGAATTTATGACACAGAAGAAGTTACCATATGGCTGAGGTCAAGGGATCATTTGAAGTACAAACATATAGACAAAACTTTAAGCTGAATTTCAGATGTCAGATTTTGCCATCTAACTCCATGGCTTAAAATAAATTTCTTACACTATTAAGCCCCTCCCTGAACATGGCTGGCACATACATTAAAAGAATGTGACTAAAAGAATTTATGAATACAACCCCCCACATGCCTAGTAATATATGAAGAGTGAAAACCTGCTCCAGATATTAATATTGGGATGTTGATATCTAATACAAAGAAAACAGTTCACCTCATCATTATAATTTCAGAACACAACAAAAACAGACTGCATAATGTATTGAAATAATTTTCCGAGAAGTCCTCCACAATTTTACAAGTTGCAAATAGAGTTCCTAACAATAAACTTCTATGATTCAAGGACTGAAAAGTATCGAATTACAGACACTTCGTATCATTTAATTCCTGAGAAAAAGATAAGTGCAAATGGAAGCCAACTGTTAATATCTAGCAAAAGAAAAGTCCCATCTTCTACGTCTTACCTACCTTTCTCTAGGGTGCAATAGACAATGAAATATGATTTTGTCATCATTTTTCCTTCTAATTAACAGAAAAATACAGGAATAGATTGATAGCCCCTTTCCCAGAAGTAATACCGTTGCAGGCCCCTAGTCTATTTCCTACTCTACAAGATGTGACTAGATTAAAATAAGCAAACAGATAGCAAGGCCCAAATCATACCAGCTGTACATGCAGAATTAGCAGAACCTGCGGAAACTACTGCCTCAGGAGACAGAATATTATTTCTTGTGAAAACGTCGACACGGCGAGGAGCCCATTCGTCCTTCTGTTCTCGATGTCCAAGCCTGTGATCAGTAGGTAGCCACTGAAGTTCATGACGAAAAAGAAGGTGCAAAAGCAAATAAATTACTTAGTGTGACAACTGAAATCTATATTAAGTACCTTCCATAGCCTCCGAAGCCCCAACTAATAATTTGTTCAGCAAAAAAAATCAGAAATGTATCATGAAATTATGAGTTCCTTTTACAGAGTGAATAATCAGGACAGAGCAAACAGATATACATATGCAAGAAAATCTTACGTGTAGACGAAGCCATTCTTATCCACTGCCACTGGAGAACCCGATCAAATGGAAATTGCATATTAAACACGCAATAAACAGATAACTGATGTAAAAATAGAGGCATTGATAGTAAACTAGTTGCAGGATGAACCTGTATGATTTGTTCCACAAGCAACTTTGACTATGGTCTCTCCAGAAAGAGAAGCTATTGCTTTAGGACGAGGTTGAGCTTCATAAGCAAGCCTCACAGAGCTATCTTTAGTATTGTACTGGCAATGAAAATAGGATCTTCTAATTACTCAAAGAAAACAGAAAATCATGCAAATATGAGTCCCATGCAAAGGGAAAATGAGAAAAACTCCATACATACAAATGCACTAATGGAAACTTCTTAATGTTTAGACAAGCCATTACCAATCCACTACAGGGATTCATTCTAAAGAAATTATTTTACTGGGGATTACTTTCTCTGGAAGAAAAGGAACAAATAGCAATTAACTACATCCAAAAGGTAACATATTCATACTCAACTTTGCGGTCTCTTAAAGGATGACGAACAAGCAATACATTTTCTTCCTTTTATAATATTCTATGTGTTAAGTTTTGTTGAGCTCATAATTTTTTCTCAAGATATGCATAATTATGCATTCAAAATTAAGCATCCCTTGACGAACACCTGAAAAGAAACATAGCATCAGCAACTCCATATCCAGGCAAAACCCATTATAGCCAGAAACAAAAGCAAGCAGCCTCAAGAATAAGAGCAAATTTGACAACAAAGCAAAACTTCACATTGAATCTGATAGCTGTTAAACGTGCTGGCGTCGTAACATTTAGAAGATGACCAATTGAAAGGACAGTAAACAGAGAGGAAAAGCACAAACAAGCTACTGCCAGAGAATCATTTTAAAATCTAGTGTACTTTCCAGTGAGACAGTAACTGACTTCTGGACAATAATCTTGAGGTCAAAGACATCCAAAACCTATGCAACACAGGTACATAATACTAAATAGACTCTGAGGTAAAAGTACCCCCAACCAAACATGTTGAACAGAAATTTTAGGACCCTTGACCATACCTCATTGTCAGTACCATGGCCAAGCTGACCATACTGTGGAAGACCAGCAGTTCTAGAAAGTGTGAAAAAGATAGCAAATTAAAATATTTATCATGGATAATTGAGAAAGAGAGAGATGTCCATAGAGCCAACATCTTGAATTAAAATGCATTTTAAAGTAGAAACCACAAACAAAGCAGTAAACCATACAATATAGAAGCTCCTTCCGTGGAAGTTAGCCACACTGTAAAATCACCCCCACAAGCAATAGTTTTGACTTCAGACACGAGACCACGAACAGGAGATGGTTCAACTTCTGCACAAATTTGTCATAGAAAATAGAGTGTTTACAGAAGTCAGTATTAGATATCAGATATGCTGTAATTTATGTAAAGCTCGTTGCTAAATTAAAGTTCTCATATCAATTCCTAAAACAAGTTCCACAACCATCCACATTCTATTCCTCCTCCGAATTTCATCTATCTCATTCATGTCATCAAGATGATTAAATGGATTGTGTTCTCATTGTAAGGCAATTCACTTTCAGGACTTACAATGAGCCAGCATCTGAACCATGCCAGTGAACCCATGTACATATAAGATAACCTCATGTGTCTTGCGTATCCTTCACATAAGATTCTCATAACCAAATTATAGAGTACTTTACAGAAACAGATCTTTGATTTCTTTGTATTAACAAGTTTTAATATTTCATTCATAACAACAAAGAATAGGTCAGGACTTCATTGAAATAATAAGAACTAAATCAAGGGGATAGTACGCAAATGAAATTAAACTAAACAATGACAATACCCTATTGGAAAAACTCTTAGCAGGGGAACCCTCTTCAAAACCCTTGAAAGATTAATGAATCCGTTATTTTTGCATTTCAGTTTCGAAATCACACAAACTGGGTTCATGCTCACTCTTTTTAGGCAACGTGAATCTTAACCAGCATGTCCAAATAAGAGTGTATTGAATTCAGAACCCACCATTTTTAACAGAACCTGATCCGAGTTGCCCATGTTTATTCCAGCCAAAAGCAAGAGACAGCCCATCTTCAGTTACTACCACAGTATGACACCTTCCAGCTCCTGCTCTAATGACTTTATGACTGGAAAAGAGGGAAATGAAAAATAAATTAAAAATTAACAGATTATATGATACCATGAGGCATTATCCAGGATAATTCAGAATGTCACTTGGTTATCACAGTTCACTAGAAAATATATGGAACAGCGGGTCTTTCCCAACCTCATGTGACTAAAGGACATCTCAACACGTTAAATTGCATAATTTACATGGCCATGTGCGTGCGTGTAGAACATGTATGACAAAGATGACAAAGACAGTAACTACCAAGCAAAAAATTGGTAAATTAAAAAACTACTGCATCCAAGGTAAAAGGAAAGCAAAAGAACACAGCAACTGACTTGATCAATTCTGAAACAACTGTCGGTCTATCACGCTGAATTGTATCTCCATGACCAAGCTGTCCCTTCTGCGCACATTACAGTTGTGAATCTGCTTAATTGATAATGCAATCAAAAACAAAGAAATGGAAAGACAAACACAGCCATTCAGCTGAAACTTAACATGCCTCGTTACGACCCCACGTGTAGCAACGCCCTTCAACATCCAAAGCCACGCAATGGCAAGACACTACATTTCATATTAGCACATTCAGATAAACAAACACCCATTCAAATTCGAAAATCGTGCAAAATAACTAAAACTAAAAGGAAATAAAACTAAATCAAGAACCTCCTTTCAAGCCATTTCAGTGAGAAGTACCACATCATCAGAAGGAATGAAAACCAACAAATACTTAAAACAGAACAAAGTTATGAAATATATTCTCACCACAACCAGAAGCCACGAAACGAATGTCAATGCCCATGAGAGGACGAAGCCTTGTTGGCGAAACCAGATTCCACTCGGCAGGTACTTTGCGGCGACCAACGGCATCCCAGGCCGTGGTCCCACAAAACAAAAGCTCCCCACCCTTTATCGTCTCTTCCTCCTTCTCCTCCACCTTCTTCTCCAGCTCCACGTCCGCCATCTAACCACCCTAAATCTTTAAAAGAAAAACATATAAAATTCAAGAACACAAATCAAACAAATTTCAAAATTCTAATAAAATAAACCATTAACCAGAAAACCCACTGGAGGGAGGCCGACAAAATCCTCTTTAGCTGCCTTTGCAACAACCGCAGATAATTTCACTGTGAATCTGAGATAGGCTTTCAAAAAGAACAAAACAATAAATAGCCCTAGGAATTGAGAAAAAAAGAAGAAACCCCGCTGCCCACTAGATAATTTTTTTCCCCATGCCTTACTTTATTGGCAAGTGTCACGTCGTATTTGTTCAAATGATTTTGTTACCATTTTTCGAATTTTTTTCCGAAAAAAAATAGTGTTTTACTAGTAGTCGTTTTCGGTCAGATTTTCTAATGCCTTTTTGGTGTACCTTTGTAGGGTTTAAGGGTTCCTCGCGAGTTTGGGCGCCGTGTTGTATAATTGGGGCAAGGTGCACCTTCTCGAATGCAGAATAAATTCCAATAACGAATTTAAAATTTGTAGCATAAATAATTTAATTTAATTTAATACATGATATTATTATATATTAAAATGTGTGATAAGAAAAATTTTGAATTACGAGGCTATTTGGTAGTCATTTTGACCTACCCAAAATTAATTATTCGAACGTTGCCACCCACTTATCTGACAACCCCTGCGTAAGTATACAGTATATCATTTTTTCTCTTTCTCTCACAATACCCATCTCACTTGCCACCCACTTGTCTGACAACCCCATGCATGTATAAAAAGGTACATAAATTTTTATCTTTCCCTGCCACCCACTTTTCTGACAATCCAAGCATAAAAAAGTACATGAATTTTTCTTTTTTCCCTCACAATGCCCCCTCCCACCGACACTTTTTTTCTCCAACCTTCAGCTCCGAACCCAGCAACAGTCTACCTACCCAAAACACTAGCCGAATATTTGAAGAACCTGTGCACTATCCTTGATCTTTCACCTTCCTATACCGTGAACATGTCTCATAGCAACCGTCACCAGTTCCTGTCAGTTCCCAGCTGCACGACGACGCCAGAGCGACACAGCATCGGTGACAAACAATGGATCACACCGAGAAACAGGTACGAATACTGCAATCTCCTTCCCTCCTCCACTTCCCCCGATTTTCGTCGCTGTTGACCAACTCCTCCACTTCGCAGACAGGACATCTTGCTGGAGGACCTTCTTACCCTGGGACAGAAACGTCACGACAGCCGGCCGTGAAGTCATATGCTCGCTGGAGCTCAGATGCCAACTGAGCCTTCATTGCGGCTTGCGAGACCACCATAGCTGAGGGGCACCGAAACGGGAAGTGTTTCACCAAACACGGCTGGGAACGGGTTGGATCACTCTTCAACTGAGTGACCGGCCATAACTGGAGCCGGCAACAGCTGCGAAATCATTGGGATTTAATGCGAGCCGAATTGTTGCTTCTGAAAAATGGTAGAACCGGAAGATTAAGGTAATGAATTCCCAATTTCTCAACAACCCGTTTACCTGCAAGTGTGATTAGTGCGCCCACTTATTGCCTTTTCGGTGCATTGCTGTGTCTTTACATTTACATCAGACATCTTAGTCTGAAAACTGAATTGTATTGTACCAAAAACTTTATTATAGTTCTTAATCAGCCTTTAACTCATATTCAATTTTCTCTGTTTTTGATGGCAAGTATTGTGAGTGTAGATGAAAACACTGCTGCATTAGGTTAATGCCCAAACTAGCATCAAAGATCTGGTATTCGTTATATGTCATTTTCACTGAACTTGTTTTGTCGCACAATGTACAGAATGCTTTGTGCTGCTTCTAGAAATACAAATTCATGTGTGCAACCTGATTACGCCCAAAGAATAACGCGGTGATTGTAGTACAACTTTGGAGTGTCGTATCCACAGGGAGATGAAAATTTTTTCAAAAGATCAAACAAACTAGGGTTTTTGTAATTAAATGTGGGAATGATTTATCACTTGGAATAAAAATTAACTATCAATATGCGAATTAGTGAAGCGTCGGAGTTCCCCAATTGGATTGGATCAATCAACATCAATAATTCATGTATTTTTACTCAATTAGAGGTTTTCTTCCCAACTCTCTAATTGGAAGATTTAACAGTGAAGTCCAATTTTATTCCAATTATATTTCTAGAATCTAGATTTTCTATAACACATTCGCACATTTTTATTGGAACAAAATCAAAAATCGACCATATACGTCAGGCATAAGGCAGTAATCAATCCGCCAATAAAGTGATATTAAGATTAAAATTCAATAATTATTTCAATCATTTGATAGAAAGAGCATGGCTGGATCTATGAAGGATTTGATAAAAGTTAAAATAATCTCAACAATAAGTAATTTAAATTGAAACTCAACAAATAATTTAATTTAGCAATGGAAAAAGCATGACTGAATCCATGAGAAATTTATTAAAAGTTAAACAAATTTCAATACTAATTCATAACGAGAAGATCCAAATCTAGAAATTATGAAGTAAAGAGAGTTCGAATCACATGAAATTATGACGTGAAATCTCCAAATCCAATGAGTTCCTTCGTTGCTTCACCAAGTTCCTTAGTTTTCCATGGAGTTTCTTGAGTACCAAGATGAAAGAAATAGGTCTGGGGGCGTCTCCCTTCGTTCTGGGTGGTTTTGGGCATTTATATCCCGTGAAAATTAGGTTACCATAAGAGATTCAATCGTATAAGGAAACTGAGATTCGACCGCCAAAAAAACACTATGCCACCGCATGGTTATTGTCATTGCGGTCGCATGGTTATGCACTTTCAGCCTCTTCAATTCTCGGTATAGGTGTGTGCGACCGCAAAGTAGAAAAGCATGCGGCCGCATGGTTCCGCCAGACAGCTTTCAATGTTTTAATCATAACTTTCTTTCCCGATGTCCAATTGAGGTGATTCAAGTTGCATTGGATAGCTAACTCAAAGGGCCACAATTTTTATTCAGAAGTCATCTCCGAATTCGATCATCTTCCATGTCAAAAATGGGTCCCAACATGAGATTAAAAACTGGTGTGTTAGTTTTCGATTGGAAATTGATGTATTGATCAAACTTTGATGTTATTTCATCCCTTTGACTTCTTTCCTTATTCACTTGACCTCTAACACTTTCGAATCTTCATCATAATCTTGGACACAAGTTTGGATCATTTGCACTTTAGTCCTCGAACTTTCGTTTTCTTCTACTTTGGTCATTTTTCACTTGTTTCTTCCGAATTTCATCTTTTTCACCAAAATGCAACCTAAACCAAATTATAAGAGTAATGGGTGCATTTTGGCATAATATAATCACATGAATGCAATAGTTAAGAGGGGAAAATATGGTATTTTACACTCTTATCACACACCCCAACTTGCTTATTGCTAGTCCCTAGCAATTTAATGCAAATTAAAGCAAATGAGTTATTGGTCCATGTTACAAGTGAAATTGTTAAGTTCTAATTCAACAGTAGTTCATTCTCTTTTCAAACTCAACACCACCAGAAATTAACAATGTTATGATCATCAAGATATCAAAAACACTTGCTAAATGTGTAAGTGTGTGTCAAGCCATAGCCATCTTACCGCCAACCCTAACACATGCAACATCGAGTGTATCTCTAGCTAAAGGTCCAACCCCATAACTCACGGATATTAAAGTGTTTAGTGTGAGATTTCTCTCTATAGAGCTGGGAAAGATGCACACTCAGAACATGGAGGCTTTAATAATTAGCAACAAGCAGACATTAATCACATGATAGGCATACTTTCAAATGAGAATTCATCAACTTCTTACCACAAATCGACTTGAGATCAAAACAGTCAATGCAAAGAGTGTGAAACGGGTTAAGCTGTGTTATATGAAAAGTAGGGTGAAAAGAATTTAGGGACTTCCAAGTATCTAGTTAGGCATCTCAACAAGTAATTCAACATAGCAATCCTTTACATCAACGCATTCCTTAACCTTTCAATTTCCAACAACAATCCACTCTCTTTTTTTTTCAATTTTTTTTTCTTTCAAAATTTTTTTTTCTTTTCTCGCTTTTTTTTGCATCACACGAGCACTTATTATCTCTTATCACTTTCCTCGTTACTTTTCTTCTCAAATGGACATTTAATACCTACTATACACTTGGAAGCATAAATGTGGAAAAATGACTATTTATAGACTTTAATTCAGTGTAAGGAGGTATGGATAACTTAGGCACATGAAAAGAAATGGTTATGTATGTGTATTGGCTCAAAGTGGCTACTAGGGGATTATAATTCTGGAAAAGAACTAGTCTGAAGGCTCAAATTCAATCCTAAATTGACTGTTATCATTTCTCAAGTACAAACCACCGTCTTACCATATATCGTGTAATGTCGTTCTCAGAAGAAGTTTCCAATTCACACAATCAATGAACACTTATTACATTTTTAATATGTGATAACTCTCAATCCTCACCAATTCTCTCTAAAGAAAGCTCTAGTAGGAGATTCCTCTAGCTACATGTGTTAAACCACTATCTTACCACAAGGCTTGTGTGCACAAATTGAAATATAGCAAGTGTCCTGATATCCAGATTCTCATAAACACAACCAACTCCTAGTGGCATATTTTGTCACTCAAGCACATAGGCATAGACATGCAGCAACTCAGAAGTCCAGTAAAAAATGTAAACTTTTTCACAATTCCATGATCACACAATTTATCATGCAATGCAATTCACAAACAAAATGTATCCTCCCCCCAACTAAAAGTTACATTGTCCTCAATGCATAAACATGTCTCCAAAAATAAAGAAGGGGAAAGGTATCACCTGAGTGCTGCAGTGAATTAACTTAAGTTCGAAGGATAAGAAGCCTGAAAGAACTCAATGGATGGATAATCCGAGGAGTAAAAAAAATAAACCAAAAAAAAAATGAATGCAAATCATACTAAAAAGAAAAATCTAAAACTAATATACAGAAAAATAAAGTGAAGGATGAACCTGAGTGAAGCTAAGGGTGGTAAACAGGGTCTGCAAGGGGAATTTCTTCCGCTGCAGGCACCGATTGCCCAAAATCTATTTTGAGACGCTATCCACTCACTTTGAACACTCTACCATCATTAGGATCCTCAATTTCAACCGCTCCATTTTCAAAGACTCGTAATACCACAAAGAGACCAGTCCACCTAGAACGAAGTTTTCCAGGATGCTTGTGGAGTCTAGAATCATGCAGGTATACTTTTTGATTTGGTTCAAAAGTTTTTCTCAAAATGTTTTTATCATGAAAAGCTTTCATTTTTTCCTTGTAGATTCTAGAACTCTCATAGGCCTCATTTCTCAACTTCTCTAACTCAGCCAATTGAAAAT